TGTCGCCGTGAGTTTTTTTGTGATTTTTTTTTTTTTAAGAAACCTGCCTCCATTGGAAGGAAAAAGGAAAAAAAAAAGCATGACCTGACTTAATTGGAAGAAAGATTTTTTAAAAAAGTAATAGGGCAGGGAAGTTAAGGACTCAGCCTTCTAAAATAGCTATACCTTCTTGGCTTTTTCAGGTTGACTTCTTGGTGGGAGCTGTTTCATATTCGTGTGTAGAAGCGGTAGTCTGGGCCTTTAATAAAAGTCTTTATGTACTTTCCGGTGGTGGTGTTCTTGTAGCTGAAGCTGCGTGCACTGGATAAAAAGGAAGAGCTGATCTTTTATGTGTTGGATTTTGGATGAATTTTTGTGTCTGTTTCTATGAAATAGGTGTACACACCAAAAACTTACAGTTAGTATGCAGTATGAGGGTTCTGGAAGCAAAGAAAAACACTCTTCCTAGAGCAAGAGCCTAGTTATAATTTATCGCTAGGTTTCCTTGACGTCTTCTCTGGAAAATACTATTTTAGAATGTAGGGGGTTTTTAGTGGATCACTTCTTAATGTGCCTTTGTATCTGTTACAATTTCTATTCACAACTTACAATTATGCAAAGCTTACCATGTTAGCAGTATACTCATTGAATATTCATAACACAGGTACCATTTCTTGGGCTACACAACTATGCAGCATCTTTATCAGGTCACTGCTTCCAGCTGACCTGTCTTACAAAGGGATCATGACGTGACACGTGTGGTATCAAGTGGTGGGAATCCAGTCGCATTCCAAAACAAGCTCTGCTGATTCTTTTCTCAAGTTCAAACTCTCACTGCTAAAACACCCTCTTTACTTCTACTGTGAAGCTATAGAACTTCAGCCTCCAACAGTTGGATTCGCCTTTTCTGACAGTAAAAGTATTTGTAATTGCCTTTCCATGTAGACATTGATGGGCAGTGACTGAAGCATGTCCTACCTTTTTGTTACTAAGATAAACAAAATGGGAGGGTGACCCCTATTTTATCTCAGTGATATTTCTGAGTTCTATACAACATACTTCAAGTACTTGGCATATTTCTTTTGTTTTAGTGTTTCCTGTACTCTTTCCAGTAGTGGTTTAATCTTGAATCTGATTAATTGAAATATCCTGAATTACTTTAGAGTCTTTATTCAATCAATGAAATAGAATACAGGATGGGACAACCCTTTCACCTCAATCAATGTTGCATTTAAATATAATGTACTTGTCTAGAAACTTGTCTTGGCATTCCCTTGGTGCAAGAGAGAGAGCTCATCAGGCCAGCCTCTGAACTCACAGCAAAATCAACATCTTCATGTTTTCTCTATTTGGCTTTTGGAGAGGTTTTTAAAAAAAACCCAAACAACAAACAATCAAACAAAACATGCAAGGCTGCTTTGTTAAGCATCAAAGCATTCATTAAAATTTCTTTTCACAATTACTGGTAAGCAGTGTACTGATAGAACTGCAAATCTAATTTTAGCATATTTTTGACAGCATAGATTTACGATTGTGTGTACTCACTCTGAACTGCCTTCCCAGACCCATAGAGGGTTCACTCTGTATTGCTGTCACTGTCTCCGCCACCCGGTTCTCTTCTAGCACAAGGAAAATACCAAGCTGTCTCCCTGCTCCAAAAAGCAGAGGAGGGACCTTGCAGAGGCTAGCAAACATTTCCCATCTGACACCCCAACAGCATGTGAGGTCAATGGATATCTCCAGAGTGGGCAAGGAAAAAGACTGTATTGAGGCTGTGATTCTATTAGACCAAGCAGATACGGATCAGAATAAGAAGATTACACAGTCAGCTGTTCAGGACTGGTGGAGTAGGAACTAACATTTTCTACAGTGTTAAAATAGAAGGTCCCCACTTTGACTTTCTGGTGATTTCAGGTATTTATTTCTGCCCTGTAATGACTGAATGTAGAACCATTGTGGCTTTCTAGGATGCTTGTTCTAGTATTCGAGTACCTTAAGTAGTCTATAATTTCTATTTTGATAGTAACTTGCTGTAGGTGTTAAAGCATTTTTCTTTTTTCTGTGTATTGATTCTTAAGTATTGGCTTTTTAGAAGTGCAAAGGAATGTATTCATTAATCTGACCACAATTTTAACTTGTTATATTCAGACAAGTTTGTTTTAAGAATGACTGTATTAAAGTGTGGCAGAATAAAAGAACTTTGGTTTAAAATGAAAAAAAAAAAAACCATGAATTAAGTTACACTATTTCGGAGTGTGATTAAGTTATTTAGATCATTTAGTATGGAGGGATCTGGAAATACTAGAGAATAGTTGAAGGTAACTTACTAACCAAGTCTTTGATTATTAAATCTGTTGTTTTCTTAGGTGTACACAGATCCTGGACCTTTTTTTTTAATTGAATAACCTGTATCTTGCTGACGAAGAAACCAGATTTGAGCTTTCTTTTTTTTTTTCTTCCTTCCTCATTGGAAGAGCACAGTAGTGGCTCCCTGTTCACTTCAGTAAGTATTGTTTTGAAAACAACACTCAGCTTGCCTAAAATCTGGTTGGCTTTAGCTATATTTGAGCTAGTGTATTTGCTGGAAGAGAAATGATACTAGTAAGGATTTTGATGGTGTGTTTTCTTCACTGAAGGGAGTGGGAGCATCATTTTCAAAACGGTAAGAAATGAGTTGGCAAAAATTGGAAAGGAATGGATAAAATAAGGGTTAGGATATATGTTTAGGACACCAATGAAGACAAGTTTACAAAAATAAGCTTTCTCTGCATCAGTGACTGGAGCTACTTTTTTTTTTCTTTCCTTTTTATAAACAAATAATTACGTAGCTAGAGATCTAGTCTTCTAGTTGTTTGAAACCAAATATTGTTTCAAGCTTCCATTCTGAGATGTGTCTATGAAAGCCCACATTGACTGAAAAGTTTTTGCCGTCATAGCTGTATTGACAGGACAGATCAATGCCGCTCTTTGTTTTATTGATTCAAGTAAAATACAGTTAGGACTGGTTGAAGATGTAGTTCTGTGACCTTATGTGCCTCTTTAATTGGCTTGTCATCAATTATGTAATAAATTTCTAGTTATATTAGGCATGTTAAATTCCTACTCCTAAATTCCATTTTCCTAAAAAAGCTAGAGTTTATATTAACTGCCTTTGTATTTTGTTTAAAATGAAAAGAATTGACCTGAATCTCTGGGTTAACTTCCTTGGAATAAAATTATATGGCTTTTCATTAATGCAGATACCAGAATAGGAACCTACTTTGTTTTACAATCAATGAACTTGCCACTCAAGTTAACCCCTTTAACTGCCTTGTTTTTACCTGTTCTTTTTTCTAGATGTCAGTTTGCTGCTAATGGGTGTAAGTAAATTAGATGTCTTGTACAGAAAGCTTCTCCTCACTAAACTTTTCATCAGAGGATGGGGAAAGCCAGAGGATCTGAAAAGGTGACTTGTTAAAAAATAACAGCATAAACATACCTTATATTAAAAGAAAAAAACAACCCTTGAAGTACCAACAATTGTTACTATCCTGTATTTAAAAAAGAAAAAAAAGTGTTAAAGTTTGTTTTGTTCAGGAAATCTTGTGTTTCCATACCAAGGGAGGAACTGGATTTAAAAGAAGTCTTAAAGGGATTTGCTAAATGTTTGTGTTTAAAGAGACTCTTCTTGAGAGAATGTGTATACATGTCCAGTTACATTTTTCACTTATGCATATATGATAACGTACTTCAAGCAGCATCTCTGAAAGTGTTTTCTAAAAACAAAACTTGGTGAATTTTTACAGAGGAATTGTTCTGTTTAACATTAAAGAGGATCTTGCTAGCTTTCTGTGACTTCTTAATAATCGTGAGCTTTAAAAGTGTAAGATGTGATCAGAAGTTTCTCTCGTAGCCCAAAGTAGTAAACTCATTCTTTTTAGATGTCTTGAAAATAAGAAAAAAAAATGGAAGTACCTCTTAGTTTTTAAATATTTGCCGATTTTTATTAGTTATTATTAAGAGTAACACCTGGAAGTTGAGCACTTAAATTTCTTAAGTTTAAAAATTAAGTGACTGAATATATATATTCTGCATCATGTAGTATTTAAATAGGAAATGATAAATCTGCATTTAATAAGCTAATTCTTATGTATTTGAAAATCAATAAAGAAAATTTTAAAAAATATTGAAATAAAATTTTGTTCACTGTGGATAGCAGTGGAGTTATGTGGGGGGGTTGCTTTTTGTTTTTAAGTCCAAGTGAAACATCTCATCTTGAAATGGCACTTGGATTGCTTTGTATGTCTGTCTTCAGTTGATTTTTCTCTTAAGTAGCAGACTTTCCTGCAAAATGAGAATGTTGGATTTTTAAAATGTTTAGTTTATTCTGTTGGAATAAGCAAAAAATGTGTTTTGTTTTGATTGCAGCTTTTCTGTATTGTTACGTGTTTGTGTACCTGAAATGGGACATTTTAATGTTATCAAAACCCTCTCCTAAAAACTTTCAGGTTCTTGGTGAGACATGAAGTTTCACTCCCCCATCCCCATCTCCCCCCAACACAACTGCTATTTATATAGGGGAACTTCTGACTAATTCTACGGTTAGCTATTGCGATGCGAGGCGAGGCTTTTCTCTTGCATGGAGTCTATAGCGGTAATCACACTAGTGTCAAACAGCAATACACACTAATGTCAAACAGCAATAAAGAAGCATTGCTGGTAGTAATAATGGTATTGGCTATGGCTCTTCCTTTTTCTTAGCGGGGAAAAAACCTCTCACATGAGATCAAAAGCTGTGGTGGAAACAATGAGGCAGGCTTGCTGGTCTGAAAAGTGGAAGAAGAATTTGTTCTATGTATTGCCCCTGAATGGGAAGAAGATGAGCTGTTCCCCAGCAGCCTGGCTTCACCTGGATGAAGAAGGAAGAATACCACCTCCTCCTGACTCCGCACACTGGCTAGCGGGAGAAGGGAGTACCACTCCCTAGTATGTGAGCCCTATTGTGCCAGAAACAGTGTCAGCCTTGTCTTTTTTTTTTTTTTTAAAAAAAAACTGATCACTGTGAAGCTCCATTAGAAGAAATGACTAAATTTCTTATACTTCAAGCATTAACTGAGATTCAGATATTGCAGACTACCCTGTCTAGATGTAATCTGAAGTTATATGTGCACACCCTTGATGTGATGACTGTTGATATCCCAATGCTTTATCCTCAACTCATTAGTGAGAGCTGAAATTCCTCAACACATGCAAGATTTAGCCTTCGGTATCCTTCTGACTACAGAGGAAATACATAAATGCAGTATTTTTAGAGGATTTAGTATGAAGCAAAACATCTCTTCATTTAGTTTACCCTCCACACTCACGTCTCATACCTTTATTCTTATTTTCTCAGAAATACTTAATGCACTTGCTGTTCTGTATAAGAAAAGCAAAGGCTATATAGTAGAGCTATTTTTGATGTGGTGGTAAACTGGATTTTCTTTCCGTCCGATTGGTTTGGTTTTCTGTGGTGTTGGGAAGGTGGACAGATCATTCCTGTTATACTGTTCTGTACTTTCCACCCAAATCTGATGTTTTAGTTGGTCAGCTAACATTGTTGTGTGTATTTACAACCGTAAGAATGAGCAAGTTATTCTTAGCATAGGGTATTTAAGGTTGCAGGGCCAGCTTGAGGGCATCTAGTCCAAATCCCTATTCAAAACAAAGCTAAGTTCTTAGTTGATTCAAGTCACTTGGCACCTCATCCATTTGAGTTTTGAAAGTCCCTTGAGGGTGGAGATTATTCATAGTTTCAATCTTTTCCGGTGCTTAACCGCTATCACTGTGAAAAAAAAATCTTTCACTGTGTTCCAGTAGAAATTTCTTATGTTGCAACACACAACCATTGCTTCTTGTCCTCTCACTGTATACTTCTGAGAAGAGTCTTCTTTCATTTTCTCTGTAAGACTCTGCAGCCCATGTAGGTAGCAGAAGAAAGCAACTAGATTTGCCCCTTAGCCTTCTGTTCCCCAGGCAATGCAAACCCCATTCCCTTGACCTGCTGGCTGCCCTCTTGCTAAATGCAGAGGGTATGCCATTGGTCCTCCTAGCTGCAAGGATGTGTTGCTAACTCGTGTTCAGTTTGCTGTCCACCAGAAACCCCATGCCTTTTCCTGCAGAGCTGCTACCTAGCTGGGAAGTTCCCAGCCTGGATTGTTGCATGGGGCTGTTCTGTCCTAGGTGCAAGATTTTCCAGTTTTATTGTTGAGCTTTAGGATGTTTGTTGACCTGTTCCTCCAGCTTATCCAGGTCTCTCTGAATGCTAGTCCTACCTTCTGGCTATCAACCTCACCTTCCAGTTTGTGTCATTCATGAACTTCCCTAAGTGCTGCTAGTCACTTGTTTCCAGCTAGACTTCAGATCGTTGACAACTACACTTTGATGCTGGTGGTCCAGCCTGTTTTTCACCCATTCAGTCTGTATTGCCCCGATGTGGCTACAAGGATGTGTAAGTGTAGGAGGTTGCTACGTCTTAATTTGGCCCTGAAAAATTACATAAGTTTTCAACATATCAGGTGTAAAATACTATTTAAGAGCTGTGCAACCCCAAGCTATGTACCTGAGCCTTTTTTTTTTTTTAACTTAAAAACATTCTTATATACCTACCCTACGGTAGCCTGATTAATCTGTAAAAGCAAAGCTGGCTTTGTAACTTTTTCTTTGTGGCTTACTTTAGCTCCTGAAATTTTTTTTTATATATATATCTTCTCTTTTTTTTTAGATTAAAAGCTGAATCTTCTCTACTTGTTTCCTTTCAACAGAATATTTGAATTCAGAAAAATTATTGGAAACAGGGAAAAATGCCAGACGCTGGTTTCGAAAGATTACCCAGTGTTCATTGACAAGGTACTTAAAAGCAAGAGATGATGCAGTTCAACTAAATTTATTTTTCTGGTGGTATATAAAGGTGAAATCAACTTAGTACTTACCAGGCTGCTTTTCTAGGACAGAAGAATTGAATCTTGGTGTCATGTCAATCTATGTTTTCCTGATGTCTGACGTTATCACAGCATGACTTGCTTCTGGGATTGGCAACTGGGGACTTGAGTTAGGGAGTACATAGAGACAGGGTGGTGAACGCGCCTCTGACAATATTTTGCTGTTCGCCAGTTTTCTAACAGGAGGTATTAACTGACTTCACTGGTGTTTCCGGTTGCTCTGTATCAGGAAAAAGACATTAGAATTTATTTGTGAGGGAAGAGGAAGTGAGGCTGCAGAAGCAAAAGAAATCAGTGTAGTGTGAGTTCTCAAATGCTCTTGATTGGAAAAAGGAGGCTCTGTGCTTCCAAGTGAGGAGTGCAGATAGAAGTAATCATTGCCCTGAAGACTTTTCAATCTAGAAAGTGTGAATAGGGGGTCAGAAATGAAGAGTAGTTCTAAAGTCAAATAAATGCACTGGTGAATGCTGTGGCAAGCTAAATAATTTAACAGTTTGCTGTTTTGAATTTGTTTTTTTTAATTGAGCTGCTGTGGATAGAATTAGGAGGCAATGGCAAACGTGAAATGGGGTTGGAAGGGATGGGAAAATGAGCAGTCACGTTGGCTACTAGTGGAGAATGGAAGAAAACAGAGAGAATAAAGCAGTGGCTGCACAGATACTGTTTTATTTTTTCCCCAGTAATACAATAGTTGAGGGGGTGGGATGTCAGATCTTAAAGCTCAAAAAATGCTCGAAACTTAGTATGTGTGGTGGAAGTTATTTAAAATGGGACAGCATTACACTTTATTCCTTGATTCCTTTAATAGGTCATTTAATAAAAGCAAAGTTTGAAACAAATGTTTTGACTGTGTTGATAACGTGTATCCCTATATTTGAAATAGACCTCAGCTTTGGGGTTTTTTAAGTACATTTTTATCCTATAACAAATTCTTCTACTTTAAGAGATTGGCTTTCAGAGCAAGCTAAACACTGACACGAAATACACTGCTATCATCCCATTCTCTCTGTAGGTTGAGGAGCAATCCGACTGTAAAATCCTTGAGGGGCACTTCATTTCCCCGTTGGCTCATTATGTCCCAGGTATCCTACCAGTCGAATCTCTTGTAGCAAGGTAAGAGAAACCAAGTGGTATTTCCTTTCTGAAACTGGCAGAGAAATAAGAATGGTCTATAAGTAGTTTTATTGTGAAGCTAATTTATTGTAACACAAATTATCTGTGAAGTATTTCAAACTTTTTTGTACTAATATGTTGAAATAGATTTTGATCTCAAAAGTCAAAATAAATCTTATTCATGTGATAGTTTAATCTGTGTGTAAATAAAAAAAAAAGTATGTCCTTTGCTAAAGGACCTTTTTTTTTTTTTGAGTGTAGATATCATATTCCACAAAGCTGTGGAATACCCTGGGTTTTTTAAAATTATTTGTTTTTTTCCAAATGAGCAGGATGCTGGAAATGAAGGATACTATAGCCAGGACAGTAGTTGTTTGTTTTATACATAGCAGGAGAAGCTGTTTATATGAAAGAAGCGTGTTATATTGTATTTGAAGGAACCATTCCAGCCTTCCATTTACATTGAATACAAAAATATTGTATGTGTACTGAAGTAGAAAGTTCATTTAATTGCAGCCAGAGAATCTGGTGCCTTTCTTACTTGGCAAGCCAAAAAAAAAAGCATCCCCACAGAAAGCTGGATGATCCCTAAGAGTCAGAAGATACCTAATGGCATTTTTGCTGGTTTCACACTAATGCTGCTTTGCAGTTGAGTGGGTTTGGAAAGGGAGCATAATTTCTGTTTGCTTTTAGTTTTGAGCTAAACTTTCATGATGGAATTGTTTTTCCAAGCCTTGTTTAATAACTTAAAAATTAAACATAAAAGTTGTCAGCTCAAGTCGATACTGGCATTGTCAATTTTATCAATATTACTGGTTGGTAATGTAACACTAAGGAACGTCAGAAGAAGTTTGATAGTCAAAATACCAGTTCTTTTCCATCTCTCTGTTGGTTAGAGAAAGAAACTGTCTCAACATTATTGGACGAATTAGTACCATACTGGAAAATATGGTATACTGATTGTTTCCTTATCTGTGTTCTCTTACAGTTTGTAACCAAGTTATGCTGATTGTTACATTGGACAGTATTGTTACAGTTTTGGAATGCTCTACAAATTTGCCTTAGGATCTTTGTGCATTGTGTGAATATTTTTTCCTGAAGTGTAACACTGTTGTAGGTGTTACAGTGCTCCATCTTGTGGGGAAAATACTAGTGGCTCAGAAGTGATTTTTTTTTTCCCAGTAGTTAGACTGTAAATAACTTGAGTAGCAGCAGAAGACATTAAGTGATTGATGTTGGATGTATAGAATAGTTTCATGGTTTGTATGTTGGATTTTTGATTTTTTTTTTTTTTTTAAATTTAAATATATTGCTCATCTTAATCTCCAATTTCAGCTGTTGTGCCCTCAGGAGGAAAAAAAGCAATGCTGCCTAGGAGAGCTAATCATACTTGTTTAGGCTGCTCTTCATCTGAAGTTCCATTTCTCCACTCTGCAAAATTTAAATTGTGATGATGAGGTAGTGGTCTTTTTTAGGAACATGATCTTTCAGCTTGGCTCCTTTTCTTGTTTGGCATTTATTCTGTCCTACTTTCGGATTCCTTTCTTTGCTGGATGTGTTTATGAAAAATTACATTGCTGAATCGCTGGCAGTTTGCCTGCATGGGTTACGAAAATATGCTGTCTTTTTTTTTTTTTTTTTAGATTAATTTCTCTGGCGCAGCTTGTAAATAGATATACTTACTTAGCTAAAATAGGTGTTTGTTTCTCATAGATTTCAGTTCATCATACCCAGAAGATGGAATAGCAAGCACAGACCTGTGTGCATTCATTTAGCAGGCACTGGAGATCATGTGAGTATGTAAAATGTAAAATTGATTGTTATCGAGAAATTAAATAATCAGATTTTATCTTAATACATGTTTGTACATCTTATCTTTAGCACTTCTGGAGGAGACGCACATTAATGGCACGCCCAATGATTAAAGAGGCCTGTATGGCTTCCCTATTGCTAGAAAATCCTTATTATATCCTTTTGTGGAAAGCACAACAGTAATTCTTAACGTTCTCTCCAGAAGGTAGAAGACTTATCACACTGGTATAATACCTACTTTGTGGATCAATTTCCAGTGGACTTTTCAGTGGAGAGAAGCAAGGAGCAAAGTATGACCATTGCATGAAACACAATGTGGAACACAGTTATTATAATATGCTACTTTTACACCAAGTATTGCTTTTCTGATTTTTTTTGAAAATGTCTTTTACAGCGTCTTACTGTAGTCATTAAGGTAAAAGTTCTGATATGAATCTGTGTACTGATCAAAGTACCGATATGATTCCTTTAGCCATGACAGAGTGAAAACTATGCGTTCATTCTGCATCATACTGTGTGACTTCTGGATGTATTAATGACAGAAAAGAAAGTTGCCTCTCCTGCCTTCCCTTCTCAAATGCAACCCTTTGGTACCTCAGGTACTTTTGAGAAATTTACTGCTACCATTTAAGATTTGTTTAAAAAAAAACAAACCCTAAGTTCTGTCCTGTCATCAACTCATCAGTAACTTCTATAACACTGTTATTCTGTTTTATTAAACAGGATCTCTGGTTACACTTTTTTCCTACCCATATGCCTGACAAAAGTAAAATCTTACGTTGCAAGCTACATCATCAAACTACATTTAACTTGATTTAGTTCCAGTTAAACATTTGCGATTTAATGTATGTGATTTATTTTATTTTATTTTACTTCATTTTTTTCTCTAATTCCCAGTTTTTATATAGAAATTTTTTACTTTCTTTAACTTGAGTCTTCTACATGGCTGTAGAAAACCGAAGGATCAATTGTAAGTATTACCATTACATTCATGGCTACTGTCTTTTCGAAAGACCACTTTTTTTTTTTTTCTCAAGAAGCTCAAAGTAGTATAAACTTTGATAACTTATTAAGGGCAAAAAAAATCCCAAGCATGGACCACTTGTAACCTGCTAATGTGAAATTGTGTACCCTTTGCTAGACTGCTTTGTCATTTTTTGTGTTAAGAGATCACAGTGATTGGGAAAGTTTGCACAAGATGAAGTTGCAGTATAGAGTGAGGTGCAAGCAAGCTGTGTGAATGCAAGCGAGTACCAGTTTATTTTCCTGATTCACAGCTGTGCATGTACAAATGCTGCAATTATATTTCAGTCAACTGTGAATAATCTTTGGTCAGATAGTGTATTTTCCTGTTATAATTGCGAAGATTTTGCTTTTCCAAGATATTTTAAGGATTTACAGTCAGACCTGTAAATTGGTGTTGCTTGTTTGTTAGTGAGTGGAAGCTCTGCAATATTCAGTAATTTGCAGGACTTCCTCCCTCAGTCAGTTTCTTAAATGTGAATTTAGAAGCCTAATTAGACGGTCCTGGTTTTTTGCTTTTCACATTTTGTGAACCACTGGAGTATAAACAGAATTCAACAAGGTATGTGTCTGAGGCAAAGGTGTGGTTTTAGTCTACCAATATTTCTTAAAGTCCACATATGAGTTGGTGTTTTAATCCTTTTTAATCCTAACTTGGAGATATAACATGAGTAGAAGACGCATAGAAGGTGATTTATTTTTAAACCTGTCCTTTCTATTAGGACTTCACCAGGAGCACTGTCTCATACTACAGCATTTTAGATTTTCTAGATTTTATTTAGATTTCAGCATTTGGATTTCCTAAATCCAAAAGCTTAAAAAAATTACTTTTAAGGAGAAAATTTTAATTCAAAAATAGTTTCTAGGTTTTTTTTTCAAAGCAGATGCTGAATTTATTTTGACATAGAACATTCTTTTTTAAAGAAAGTTAATTACATTTACCGACTAAGATGATTGTTGTAAAATTGCTTCTTTGATAGGAAAACTGCTTAAACATATATATTTATTTATTATCGCATTTAGAAGTGTACGATTATAGGAAAGTGACAGGAGAGAGTGTGTGCTGGAATACATCCATTGGTGGGTTTTTTTCCCACTGTTGCAGGCAATAAAGGTTCTGTTGCAGAAGAATAAATTAAAGATTTTGGCAAGGGTATTTCTAACTCCGTTTTCGGTTGTCTAGCTTGACTGCTTAGTATATGCCTGATGTAGAGAAGGATTCTGTGAAAGGGGAGTGCGCAGTCTGATACCCCAAGCAGTAATTGTCACTCTTCGATACAAGGTTACAAACCAGCAGCAGTGGTTTTAGTTAATGTGCTAGTAACAGTGTTTAATAAATATAGCAGCTGGAGAGGGCTGAGGAATCTCATAACAAAGCTGTAGGAAAGAATTACATTAGCCTATATCTGCAGCAGCTACGTTCATTTCTCCTGTGGCTTGCACAGTAAGCTTTGTCCTTGTGCTTCAGAGTGTCTCAAATGTGATTGTACGCTGGCAGAAGAGGCCAGTAGCCTTTTGTAACCTGTGTGATACTGAAAATACACAGTCCCCCTCCCCAAATTAGAGGTGTATTAATTGCTCTGTAAAATACTTTTTTTTTTCCCCACTTTCTAGAGTCCCTCTGAAGGTTCAGCTGAATAGCTTTGTACTTTTTTTTGTTTCTTCTGTGTTTTAATGCTTTGCAGTACACTACATGAATTTCTCAGTACCGTGACAAACTTCCCACTTTACAATTTCAGTCTTACAGTGACACTGATGAGTGCTTCCAAAGCTGACATACTGATTGCTCTTCAAATGTTGTGTGCAATTTTTCAATGATGTAAAACAGGTAAATAAGAAAAAAAAAAAAAAAAAAAGGATTGTTTCTGCAAATGAGATAGTGTATGTCTAGGACTGTATCACTTTGATTCTATTTCTAAAAGATCCGTTATAACTTTACAGGACACAAGATTACTACTAATGAGATTCTAATGTTGGTAATATCTGTTTCTAGAAGACCAGGCTGTCAGTGATATTACATTAGAAGCTTAGCAGGTGTCTATTTCTAGTCCTCATTTAGATGAAAAAGTACAAGTGCCAGAGAATCTGGACTTGCTTTTTCTCCTGTTGAATCAACAGGAGTTCAGCTCCAAAATTCTCTGGGATTGTGATCAGGCTTTTTATAAAAGTATGTATAGAATGATGAGAACTGTCAAAGTCTAATCTTAGAAAATAAATCCTATATTTTCCTTTTCTGGGGAGAAAAGACGGTCATGTTTAAAAAATGTCTCGGACCTGTTTGTGATGGGAGGAGCTCTTGTTCTAGAATCGGCAGCTCTTTTGCACTGGCTTGAAAGAGAAGGCTATGGACCGCTAGGGATGACTGGAATATCCATGGGAGGACATGTAAGCTTTTATATTTCCTGTTCAGTAATTTTTGTTTTAACTTCTCATTTGATCATTTAGCATATGGAAATAATTTGTTTTATAGTGTTCCTCTCAGAAGTACTTTAAAATAAACATTTAGAGTTTTTTGCCAACAAATCGTTGGCAATTGTCATGTTCTGTGGTGCTGAATTAGTATAATCCTCCATAAGTACTGACAAACCAAGGAGCCCTTTGTCAGCCATCTCCTGACAGGTTTAATAAGAATATAAGCTTCTCACGTAATTATGTTTTTTTTCCACAAGGGGGGTGGGGGAAGAAATATTTTCTGAAAGAAGGCCTGTACTGATCAACTGCTGGTTCTCCCTCTTTTCCTCCATTCTTCTTTCTTAAACTTTTGTGTTTGAATGCATTACGTGAAATGCCTCCTCTTTGTAGGCATGTTGTAATTGTGGTGACTTTTGGTGTCAGTTCTGTTCTTAACTCATCTTTTTTTCCCCAATCATTGGTATCGATTGGAGATCTCTGTGGTGGATAACATTTTGTGTATGACACTGTGCATATTCAAACTAAAACAGAAATGTATTAGTAAGATGCTTGAAAGACTAGCACACAGTTAAAATATTACTGCTCGTAATATACAGATACCCATTGGTATCTCTACAGATAACCATTGGTCTGTGAGACCTGGGTGCAAAGCTTATTAAAACAACATTCCTCTGTTTTGCTGATCCTTGTTTGTTTGCTGTTAGGAGCTAAGTAAATAATGTTGGTAATGGTAGTGTCTACGGAAAGGAAAATAGTTTTCCCCCAAAGCACAATTTTATGACTTTAAATGTTGTAAATGTACAAAGCACCTTTGATTTACATAAACACCACCCTGCTGGAACAACAACTTTTGTGTTAAACTTGTCTTCCCTGTCTTATTTGTAAGTTGGATTGGAATTCTCAAGCTGCTATATGCACCACTAACTGTGCAGGACACTTCAAATGCTGTGCAAATGCTATGGGAATAACTGAGTACTGTATCCTATACCAATGGTCATATACAGCATGGGTATAGAAGGAGGCAAGATCTGAGAGAGTGAGTTTGGAAACTCCTTTGAAATTTTTTTTCTTGGTCCAGGAAGATACATTTTTGGCTAGTCCTGACTTACTTATAGGACTTCGGGTACAAATTAAAACCAGGGAAATAAATCATATTTGATGTTGATCATCTATAGAATATATTTTACAATGGAAGTTAGGTAGCATTAATTTAGTTCTACTGATGGGGAGATCTGGAACTGAGAAGAAAGAAGTCAGACTTTCTGGCTATCAGAACATAGATATGTGGTGTTCTTGTAGCTTTTTATAAATAAAAAATAATTAGAATAGAATTATAGTTCAGTTGTATAAATCCATTTATTAGAACATCTGGCACAGACATGGGGTATTTTGTATTAAGGCGTTTATGCTGTAGTTCAGTTTAGAGCAACAAAATAAAACTTGTCAAGAACATACCATATAGGGAAGTTCTGTACGTTGAGCTTCTTTGCTCTGTTTTTTTTCTGGGATAAACAGAATATTCACAAAAATGTGTTCTGAGAACTGATGTAAAAGTAATAATTTAAACTTTAAAGGACAGAAAAAGAGTCCGCTTAACATGCTGAATTACTTCTCCTCCACATTTTGTTTCCAGTATACGAATTTAAAAAGTATAGCATGTTAAGTAGTCCTTCTCATGGATTGCCTTCATTTTGCCTTGAAATAAGCTTGCAAGAGCTTGATGAAAAGGCTTAATAGATGTTTTTGATGGTTTTAAACAACTAAAAGGTCAGAATAAATATTTCATTGGGAATTCTTGTAACAAAAACCCATTCAGCCTTGAAATTAGTCCTATCCAGAGCAATGTTTATTGTTAGGGAGATCACTGAAGAAGAGGCTGTGTCTTCTAAATAGGTGAAAGTATATCCAACTGCCACAGTCCTTAACTGCTTTGGCACTGCATATTTGTTTGATACTGTATAAACAAATTGAAGGTGAGAGAGTTCTTTATACCATATTATGAATTCAGTATTAAGATATGTAATATGTGCCTTTGATTCTAGATGGCTTCACTGGCAGTGACAAACTGGCCTAAGCCATTGCCATTGATTCCGTGTCTTTCCTGGTCAACAGCTTCTGCAGTCTTTACTACGGTAATTAAGATATATTTTTGTTAATATGCTAGAATGTAATCAGATATGTAAGTTAAAAGGTTCGGGTTGGCCACATTCACCTTTTCAGTTAAGGCATTCCATCCCCCTTCGGCCTCTATTAGTGGCAAAACCCACCCTTCCTGCTCAGGATATACAACACATAATAAGGAAGGTAGCTTTGAGCTAATTCGGTGGGTCGTGTACCAAATTAGGGGCTGGGGCTGGTTTGTGGGACAATGGTTAGAGTCCTGGTCTGAATGTGGGAAGGTGAAGAAGCAAGCCATGATAACACGTTTTCTTCTGCTCAAAGCCTGGCTTAAATAGTTGGGTAATAATGCTGCTACTACCATGAGGGGTACCTGTTTTCCCTACTGCTGCCGGGGTAGGTGCATGAGTAGACTGGCTTTGACACCCATCATTGGTTTAGCCCAGTCTAGATGTGTGTAAACCCTAAGTGGGACTGTTTTCTGCTTTCTTTTTTTTTCCTTTTTTTTTAATTTGTTTTTTAAAGGGAGGTGGGTTTCCATGTCCTGTGTTATAATGTGTGCTTATGCTTTGATTACAGTAATTCTAAGGGTTATCTGGAAACCTGGGCAGAATTCCACTGGAAAAATCAAGTCACAGAGAGGAACAGATCAATTATCTCTGTATATCATTATTTTAGAATGATCTCTGGGTTTTACTTGTGTACTGGATGCTTGTGTTTATAATCTCAGGGTGTTTTGAGCAAGGCAGTGAACTGGAGAGAGCTAGAGAAACAGTATTTTACGCAAACTGTTTATGAAGAAGAAATCATTCAAATGCTTGAATACTGTGGAGTAAGTATAGTTCATTTTCCCTATTTGCTAATATTTACATGTGCAAATCTAACAAATAATGTAACTTCTTTTTACTTCCAGTAAAAGTAGCCAGTTGTTAGCTAAAACGTTTGCCTGTTGTTTCCTTTTGATAAATTTAATCTTTGAAGGAAAACCTTCTGAAAAACAGCAATCAATATTTTGGTTGTATAATGTGTGTTAAGTATAGCCCTTGCTGCAAGTTTTTTTCCGTGACCACACTTAGTGTAATCTGCAACATAAAATTAATCTAATCAAAACATTGAAACTGTAGATAGTATTTCCCAGTATCTGGCTTTATAGTCTGGAAAACCAATAGCCTGGCATGTAAATATAAAACCATGATTTTTTAATATATAGCAACATTAAGCTACTTTTCTAGTTTGTTTAGAGTGCTAGGTCTCTCTTTCTGTTTCTGTGTGTGATGCTAGCCCTCCCTCAGCTTTAGACTTTTATTGCACAGGCGGTTGGGTTAAACATGAGGTAAACTTTTGTAATTAGCTTCTTGCTCCTTACAAAATATGATTTATTGTTTGCATATTTTTTTTGCTTTCTTCTTGACTCTTTTTGACTAGGGTTGAAAGACTCTTCCCAAGGGGAATTTTGTTGCCTCACCGCTCTTTTAGATTGGAGTGATAACTTTTGGAGAATTGCTTATATGTTGCAACACTGTCTTCTAGCCAATTCTGATAAATAACTTTTTTCCTAAGATTCTTTGCTTTGTGACAGTCCTTTTTCAAAAATCTTACGACAGGAGAAGAGGGGCTGTGGTGGAGATAGTTACTTAGGCGCTTGCCATTTTTAAGTGAAATACACTCCAGGAACACTGATGCAGCAGACAAAATGAAAAGAAGAAACATTTCAAGATATTCAGTTTGTGTCTTCCTAGTATTTAGAGACAGTAGATTTTTCAGTCCTAAACCTAACATTAGACGGGGTCACATATGTTTATTGCCCAGCAATTTAAGCTTAAACAGCTGCAATTATAAATTCAGAGTTTAATATAGAATTAAAAACAAATATTTGTATCATAAGCTACCATATACAAGTACTTCCTGCATTTTTTAAGCTGACAGAATTGTAGAATGAAATTATCAAGAGGTTATGATGATCAGGATTTAATTGAGTGACATTCAGGCTGAAAATAACAAGTACTGTGAGCAGTGCTGTTTGTATCTTTTTTTTTTTTCTTTTTTTTTTTTTTTAATATTGAGTTGATCTTAAAAATAAGATTAACCAACTGGTTTAAAGGAGAAACCCTTAATAAATGACCTGTTGTCTTTGTTCAGACGGATTCTTTCAAGATGGGACAAGACTTTGTTAAAAACTTCCCTGACAGTGTGGATGGTCTGGAGGATGTGGTCGTGACTTCCAGAATGTTTGACCTTGATTCCTCAAACAAGACTGTATCTGAAGAAGCTGTTCACAGCTTTACCACAAATAAAAGTACTCTAAGTGCCTCATCAGAAAGACTCTTAATACAAGATGCTCCTAAAATGCAGTGCATAAATCAAACATTTTCAACCAGTAGCAATAGCAATAAAAACTTAACCAGCCCACAAGGACACAGGATAAATAAAAGAAGAAAGAGTGACACTTTACAGAGAGAATCCTTAAGGTTCATGAAAGGAGTAATGGATGAATGTACCCATGTAGGTAACTTCTCAGGTATGTATTTCTTTGTTTTAATGTGCAGTTTGGAAAACTGAATAAAATACGATGGAAGGAAAGGTATTTTCTTCATTCTCCATTGTGTAAACCTGCTGGCACCTTAGCTGAAATATGAAAATATCTCGAATGTTATTCAGTAGCATCTATTTACCACTCCATTTCCTGATTGTTTTTCTGTTTCTTCTTAATGGCCAACTAATGATAACGTGAATTAAAAATTTGCCTTTCAGTATCTTTGCTCATTTTTTCCTCTGCCTTGCTGCAGCTATTTTCAGATATGAGTTAGTGCAAATTTATATTATTTAAAAGAATAAAACATCTGTGTGATGTAATTAATCTGCTAATAAGGTTTTTCAAGCAGATTCAAGTAAATCTCATAAAGCAGAAATCTGATATTGACTTCAGATAGAAAGTAGTCTACATAGCTGAGAACCAAGCTTAAATGATACTTTTAGACAAGCATGACCAGTAAAAATGCACAGAGGTCCTTTTGGGAAATGCGGTCTGGTGAATATAGTGTTTTCCAAGACAGGCATAGCGTATAGAGGGAGCTGTAGCCCAGCGAGCCTTTAATCTGATGAACCTGGGTTTCCTGGCATCTAGGACAAATCCCTTTCAACGGCCCACTCGCAGGCAATGCAAACAAGTGATCTCTTCCTAGAGCTGACTGAAAGGGTTTTGTAGAGCGGGGGCTTGGAATTGCTTTTGTGGCAGTCCATTTAGACAAAATGGTTCAACTGTGCGCGTGCCCACTGAGGACTCTCAACATGTCCTAGAACATACTTTGACTTCAGACAGGTTTCTGACAGAGTTGTCTTTGAATGTCGAAACATTCTTGATACTGAGACCCTGTGCCACCTCATTTTTTAATTCTGGCATTCAGTACTCCACTGGTGAATGTTAAAAAAAAAATCCAAATATTTCTACACTAGCATAGATTTCTTGACTTGGACAATGTCCCAGATCACTGCTAGCCAGGGATGTTTTGCGACAAATACCAGTGAGTGCTTTCCTTAAAGCTTTAAAAGTTATTTCAGTAGACAGAAAAAACCTGTAAACTTTATTCTGAGTACAGACATTCTTGTTTATCTCTAGACACTCAGGTATCACTTTGATAAAGCATTGACATTTTTCAAACTTAAGAGGAATTGTCTCCCAGGTCTCTTCATGCTCTGGGAGACATTGCATCCCCTGCCAGGGTATCCTTGGAGTGTGTCTAAAGAGGAGCTTCAGAAAATCTGCCTAACATTCAGATTTCACAGAAAATGGAATGGAAGACTAGAATCTATCTTAGCATGACATATCCTCTATACATGATCTAGTATATATGAAAGGAGAGGGTCTAAATTATTTCTGACACCCCATTGTCAAACATCTTGGCTGGTCACTCTTTACCACATATATTCTTTCTGAAGAGAGAACTGTTCTGTGTTCAAAAGAATTTTGGTGTTCTTTTTCTCAACATCATTTTGGTGTTACTCCTGTTAGTCAGTAATCCGATTGGTGCAATTCTGGTTATGAGTAATAAATATATATAACAATATGTTGGGATTTTTACGTTGTAACTGAAACATGTAGGAAACAGAAAAGAAAGTGAACATATACTGCCCTTTGTGTGACCTCTCACGTGAAAAGTTGTCTTTTTTCCTCTCCTTGAGGGGAAAAAAGTATACGAAGCTTCTACTCTATTGAATTTCTGATGTCTGCTAGTTCTTTTCGCTGAAAAAAAAGAGATCTCAGAGAACTGACCTGAGTGCTAGAGTTTTGTTGATAAGAGGAAAGACAATTCTATCATTCCTCAAAGACTTGTGAAGTTTTCTGCTTTGAAGGAGGGAAGGGGATTGATTAGTTTGTTTTTCTACTGATGGCCTCACTACTGTAATGTCAAAACCCAGATAAATTCTGCTAGAGACTTTAGAAAATATAATTTTATTAAAGCTTAGAATAATTTTAATGTTTTTTTAGAAATAGAGAGCATTTTTACAACAGAAATCTCAGCTGATGTGTTTCTATTTCTTACCTTAGATGAATTCAATTTTGATTTGTTTTTCTTTAGTTCCAGTTGACCCAAGTTTAATCATAGTTGTACAAGCGAAGGAGGATGCATATATTCCTCGAACTGGGGTGCGCAGTCTTCAAGAAATCTGGCCCGGATGTGAAATTAGGTATCTGGATGGAGGTCATGTCAGTGCCTACCTCTTTAAACAAGGACTCTTTAGGTAAGGTAAACAGGAAAGTTTAAAAATAGTTGAGAGCTTAAAACCATAGTTTTGAGACACATAATTTTTCTTCTAAAAGCAAGTCTATAATTACTCTAAAGCAACAAATACCAAATACTGCTTTGAAGAACAAACCAGATCTGAAATAATTTAAAGAGAATGACAGCGTTTCCACTTTATGAGCAAAAATGAGGTGCAATATAGCTCAGATAGTTCCGTAAGCCAATGGCAAGAGAATGATCCTTCTCGCTCTTGTTTTCCTATAAAAGCTTTTAGTTAGTTTGTTCACTGGACACTAGAAAATATTTTTTAAGCAGCGACTGCTTATGTCGTATTGCACGGCTGTTGTCTTTTTGCAAATGTTGTCTTCTGAGAATTAGAAAAACCACACAGTTAAAGATGAGAATTAAAATATAAGCTTGACTGCAAATGAGTGGTACTTGCATGAATTCTTGCCTTAGTAATACTAGGCGTTGACATTCTGAAGATAGTTACATAAATCAGTTCTATAAATGCAGTTCCCTAGTTTTAAAAGTTAAACACTTGTGCTGTTAATTTTAAAATATAAGGAATTAGGAAGACTGTACATCCCATTTAGGAAGTCTAAGCAACAAGAAAAAGGAATAGCAAGATACTGGGTCAAGATATACTAACCACTAGCTTATTGCTATTTAAAACTTCAGCCTTATTTTATGACAGTTGCTCAAAAATTATAAATTATGCATGTCTCTGACCCATTTCCTGACATGTTTGAGTAGAAAACTCCTAACCCATGAATATTTGCACTTGCATTAAAGTTGGTAAACAGTCCCACTCATTCCTGAAACATAAATATATTACTGGATTGAAGTGAGAGATCCCAGAAATAAGTGAAGGAGAAAAGACTACCTGGTATCACATTTTTATTGAACGCTGTTTTGAAATTGTGATGATAGCTTTGTAAATATATTTGTAAATATGTGGAAATACGCCACTTATATCTGCCCTTTTCCAAATTATACAAATGATCTTTTTTTTTTCCTTGTTTTAGACAAGCGATTTACGATGCGTTTGACCGCTTTCTTCAGAAATACGCAGTTTAAAAATCTTAATAATGTATTCAGACTGATCTCACTTGTCCTTCCGCTTACTGGAACTCATATTTGGAAAACAAGCCTCTTGCAATGTTGAGTAGGTGGTCGCTGACTTTGACCGTTGTAGGTAACAATTATCAAAAATGATAAAGTACCAGCATTACTTTCATTTCAACCAAATGCCATTCTGACACACTTGCTTCAGCTTTACCTGTGAAAAAACAATGGCAGCATTTGTTAGTGCATGAACGGTTCATGTACTTCATGTTTAATCACGTTGTGTATTCTTTTAATTCTGAATAAATTCTGAATTGCGTACCAGTTGAAAACAGACCAATCTAACTATTGAAAGAATGTAAAATTTGCTGTAGGGCTAAGATGCTCTCTTGCGTTTAGTGTATTTCTAATTTGTTCCAGGTACCTTGGTGTCCCCTTGCTATTCCTATTGTGTTGTACTATGGCTTTGCCGGCACTCAGCCTCTTGTGTTTGTCACTGATTTTCTCTATTATGAATTGAAAATGAGCTATAATAGAAGGGGCAGCATCACATCTTGCAAAAAGAGACTTTCAAAATTCAATGAAGAGTGAGAGAGAGACATTTGCATTCGATGCGTCCATGAGATCTTTCTGCCACTGAATTAAACCGTGCCATTCCAGAAGAATCATGTAGCAATTCATTGATCAGTTTCACAAAACTGGAATAAGTGAAAATGGAGTGTCTAGTAACTAATTGTTTACATGCATTCAGTTGGATAACATAAACTTTTTCTTCTAGATTTTTTTTTTTAGAATGCTAGAGGAAATAAAAATGTAATCATTTTTCTTTAGAAGCAGTGGCACAAAGAGTCTGAATCCAGGCGGTTAAATCAACAGCAGATTATATGGTGCTATAAAGACCTGTTGGAAATATTTCAACTGAGGTCCTTTTTAAAGTGCACTCAGCGCTGATATGCAAAATACAGTTTCACTGTATAATATTAAAAATGTATGTGAGACTAAGGGTTATCAAAACAGTTAGGTTAGCTCCTTATTTTTCAACACTGTTTTTTTAATTGGATGGAAAATAAAAAAATTAGAATTGTGGACACATTTAAGAAAATCCAAAGTCTGTTGTTTCCTCTTTTGGGATCAAAAATGCCAGCAAATTACAGTAGAATAAAAGGTTGTCATGCATCAGCTGTATATGGTATCTGTCCACATCTTATTTTGTGGTAATCTCCTGTAACGTTCTTCTGAGGCTAGTTTGCAGAGAAGGTGAAAACGTAACCGCTTCAATATGAATTTTAGTACGGTAATGACCAGAGTTACACAGAAACAAACAGAAAAATCCAGCCATTTCTCGGGATATGTGACTTCTACACCTTTCAAATCAAGCACTTCGTTCATCTTCGTGGTTAGCGTAATGTTTTTTAATAGGCAGAGTATGAAGCGAAGCTCAGTTTATATAAATATACTCCCTTGAATTTTTGTCTGGCGGACAGGACTAGTAACTGGGAAGAAATCATGGTTCACTTGAACATCGGATAAGTTCAGGTAAAACTGAAGTGCAACAGTTTGTAATAACCCAAATTATTTGACGTACAAATTTACTGAAAATGCAAAAGAAGTTATATTCTGTTGGAAGTTAAATTGCTTGTTTCAAGTGGTTTTTCATCATTTCTTTAGACAGTGTTGGTTTTATATGTATATTGGGAGCAAGTGTGAAGTGACTAGCACATTTAAATGTAGTAAAACACTGTTGGAAGGTTTGAAATCAAATATAAGTAAGCTTACAAATTTAAAATTGAAGGCTTGAATACTATACTAAAAGATTTATGGGGTTTACGTTTTACAAGCTCATTCATCGACTAAGAGTGTTTTACAAGACCATTGTCTGCTGTTCACCAACTTTTTTAGATCTCCCATTTTAAATGTATTTGTGTGCTTTATGTCCTGTTTCTGTTGCAGCTATGAGAAAGGGAGATAACTGGTGGCAAGGGAGAGGGCTTGAATAAATGGAAGAGAGAAAAGACAGATTTTGTAAGGCGGGGAGTAAGCACCAAAAAAATCAACTTCTCTACGCTACAAAGTATAACATGCCAAAGTAAACATTTTGAAAGCGCACAATACTAGAAATTACACAACTGATGGGAACTTGACATCCTGAGGTTAGTGTTCTGATGATGTTACTAACAAGGTTTAACTTGCCAAAAGAGCATACTACTCACAGAAGCAGATTTATGCTAATGTAACTCCTGTTTGTGAGAGTGTCTTTTGGGATAAGTAGTGAAAGACCGGTCTCTGACAAGAATGAGAAATCACACTTAGCTACATAACTAAAGTAACGTTGCCAAATCTGAAAGCCCAGTAAGCAGCATTTAAGAAATTTCTCAGGTTAGAATAACAAAATGGAAAAATGAGCTCTGTGGTCTATTTCTGCCAGTTGCCAGACACAGGAAGCTATTAGCTGGTCTGCGAAGGAGCGAATCTTGCTGTGTAAATGTTTTTAACCTTTGGAAAACTGACTTTTTAAACCAGATTTTAAGGTTAAATCCTAAGAAAGCATTATTAATAATCCATTTTGATGTTAAATGAGAATGTGATTTTAATCCAGCAATTGCATGAGAAAAATATTGGAATAAGGTTCCTGCACTAAATCCAAATAGCAGGTAAGCCTTTCTGTATGTCTTAAATTTATTGTAAAACTGACCTTGATCATTTTTTGGTTTTAATGTTTTTCAATAAAAATCCTAAAAAACCAGTTAGGTGTGATCTTTTTTTCTTTCTTGTTAACAGGAATTCAAAATGCATCTCACTGTCATCCTGTGATCCTTTTCATTCCTACTAGTACTGTAGCACAAGAAGAGCAGTTAATCTACAGTACAAGATAAAAGCTTCACATAACAAACAGTGATACTGCTTTCATGTTTTTCTACATGCAGTACCTAGTGAAGAAAATAAGCTTGTATCATCTAATTAAGATACCGTTGTGATTACAAATTTTATACTTTTCAGTGGCTTCATTGTGCTAGAATTTCCCGGACTTATTTAAAACCCCCTTCTACTTTTAACAGGGTCCAAAATCTGCACCACTTCTTCCTGCTTGCTGCCGTGTTCCAAGCAAGGGTGTGTTGTACCGTAATAAACTCAGAGCATATTGTAGGACTGTCCAGCAGTAATTGAAAAAATCACCCTTGCTGTCGATGGTTGCTCTTGCAAGGTGGGAAGGTGGTGGTAGGGTTTCGGAGTGCCGCTGCCGGGAGGAGGCCATTTCATCATCTGCAGCAGTCTGTCATCTGAATGGGAATATCAGATGCTAGCTGAAAGGCTGCTTTGAACGGATAGCTGTAAATGTTACTGGCAGGTGCATTTTTGAGTCTTGATGATGTTTATATGCAAAAAAAAAATGTCTTGGGAAATTGTTGTGGCTTACTCTGTGGAATTGGAGCAGTCAGACTGACTGAAGCCTGCCGGTTGTACCCAGCAACCAAGATGCAATCAATTTTATTTCGGTGTTCAGTTATGCTGCCTGAAAAGTGAAGGCCGTGGTAACACCTCTGCATACTAATACTGATACTGTCAAAACGTGAGGAAGACAAACAGAGCGGGTAGTGCGTTTTGTCTACATTTGAAAGGAAAGGCTCAGGACAGAGTGAGAGGTTAGGGCTGGTGTGTTATCCGTGAGTAACCCGGGTGAATTTTTTTAGTGTTTTGTTTACATGGTTCTCTCCTGGCACCTAAGTGCTGGTTACCATCTAGAACAGAACGCAGCTGATCATTGTCAAATGGAGCTCTTTGTGATTCCCCCCCGAGTCTGAAAAACACCCCCCTCAAAAGTGACTGCTCAGCAATTTTTTTTAGCAAGGATAGAGCACTTGTGTTGCGTTACTCTAGAAAGTCTGCAAAAAGGTACCATTACGTGAAGGAATGGAGTCTTGTTGCTTTTTCTTACTGGAATGTTATATGCATGTGTATAGATAATCTTTAAATAGCAGATTAGAAAGTGAAAATCCTTGGATCCTCGGAATGCTATTTTTGCTTGGTAGCTGCAAACATTTTGAAGTAGCTAATTTTTTTTTATTTATCTTAATTGTTTGTGTCTTGTGTCACTTTTTTAAGAATGTTGTTCTTAATTACGGTTGGTTGGGCAGGGAAGCTTCTTTATCTTAAACTGTCAGGTTCTCTGTCAGCTTGGCTGTAACGATAAGTTATACAGTTATTGAAAGGAGGGTCATATAGTCTATAGGCATGTAATTCCTCATTAAAAACTTACATGAGTAAAATGCTCCTGTATTATGCAATCCTGTAACTTGCAGTGTTTCCTGGTACGCTTGGATGCTTCTACACAAGATAAAACATAAGCTTTAAAATGTAAAGTAGCTCGTAACGATTGTTATTCTCTTGGTTTCATGTAGTGTATTTGAAAAAGAGGCTGATTTACGACTATTATAAAATGCTGTGCTCTTAAGGGAGGAAGTACTGTGAGTTTTGCCAAGGAAGTCTCACTTGCCCTGCTAGAAAGTAACAAGAGGGATGATACACAGTGGACAAAGAGTTAAGGGTGAGTCTTGGGCAACAGTAAAAGCTTTTTATACGCTCTTCAGGCCCAGTCCATCCAATGAAGTATACAGTAAGCCGCCTACTACCACCAAGTTAGCAAAACAAGTATGTACAAAAACTTCTCAAGCTGCCACATTACTGGTCACCTTTACTGATTTTTTGCCCCCCCTCCCCAACTCTTCATCAGTTTCCTGCTTTTTTCCCCGGTCTATTCAGGTTGCTGCGCTGCAGTATCGCAGTGTTCCTGAAGTCCTGACTAGCCTGCACATCTGCTTCCTTATCTTCTAACACCTGCACGGGAGAAAGAGGAAACAGGAGGTTGATCCCCTCTTACCAGTGACTTAGGTAGGGCCTCTGCAGTTTCGTATCACTCTAACCTCTGCTTAACTTCTGAGTTTGGGAAACCAATAAAAGATGTGAAAATTGTTTTGAACGGGTAGCGTGACTGATACTCCTGTTCTCAGGAATGTAGATGTAAATGTGTACCGAGATTGCCCTTTTTCCCTGTCAAAATTATTCAGTAAGAATGCTTTCCTCCATTCCAAATAAATGTCACTGCAATATGCAATTGGCATGTCCTTGATTAGTAAATTTATTGCATCCAAAAAAACGGAGTTCTTAGTTGCAAAGAAAAATGCTTCTAAGAGTTTGAAGATTTGCTTTAATTTTAATCATTCTACCTTTTTTTCTCTTTCTTGGTGTAAATTTAAAATGAAGAAAGAATACACGTGTCACTTTTGGTACAAAAAGTGCTTAGAAGCAATAGTAATTTTTTTTCTATTTATGAAAAGAGAAACTGCTCCCCTATTACCAATGTTTGGAGCTTAAATCTGCAGTTTCAGAAACGTGCATTAAAGTATCCATGTGGTTTGCTTATAGTAGCATAACAATTGTGGTAG